TCTTGCCTTGTGTCAGGAGCACAGACTGGAGCACAGGACGAAGCACATTGCTCTTCGCTACTTTTTTGCTCGAGAGCTTCAGCAGCGCGGTCAGCTTCGGCTTGTGTACGTGGACTCGAAGGCCAACACTGCTGATATCTTCACCAAGGCGCTCCCGCCTAGTGATCATCAGCGGCACTGTACTTCTTTAGGCCTTGTGTCCACGTTTCCTCACTTGCTCACTGCTTGACATTCTTTGTACTGTACTTTATATATATCTTGTTGCTTGCTTGCTAGGTTTTGATCACTGTGTTGCTTGTTTTGTACTATATCTAGCACTGCATGTGAACTGGCCTTGTGGCCTTTACTTGTGCTCGGAGTGTGGTGACATTGTGATCCACCCTGGGCTTTGCTTTGCTTTGCTGGACTGGTCTTGTGACCCTTTGCTCTCCCCCACTTTGCCTATGGGGGTGTGTTAAACTGTATTATGCTTGTAGGCTGTAGTGGGGTAGCCAATATGGGGTACAACCCCAACTAGGGTTTCATATTTGTACCCAAACTTCTGCTAGTTCATCATTCTTGCCTAGCTATTCTGAAACTCCTCACCGCAGCAAACGAAGCAGGCAATACCGAGAACGAACGCGAAGCGTCCGACAGTTGGAATCGAACTGAAGAGTCAAAACGGTTACAGTACATCTGGACCGTCGGAAGCAGACGACATCGGGCACCTGCAGGCAGGATGGTTTTGGCGGGAACAGTTACGAAACTGTACGCGCCGCACGGTTGGGAGTGAATTTGAATAAGGGAATGTACCCCTTAGAGTACATGGCTAGATAGGTCGTTTCGCATTCCCTTGTACTCTTATTTATATCACTTTGTTTGCATGTTTTTATCATCTCAAGCATTTACATTCACTCTGCTATTGAGGTCAAGGGCCCACCAACTATTTCACTGCGTGCGAACCTTCCTGGGTAGATCCCGGGCTACGATCAACTTCTGATCGCAGCAGCTTCGACGGGTATGAAGATGGGTGAACATCGGAGTACCAGGGTTAACGTCGGGGCTACACGGCGGAAAATAACTTCGGGACTGCTGCCTCAACTGCGATTTTCGGGTGGTTACGACAAAAAAAAAGGGGTGGAATCGAGGGTGTTCAATAACACGCCTCAGGAAATTCTTCAGTATACGTGGGAGCAGCCGAAGCTTCAGGAAATTCCTGCCAACGACGAGCAATCTGCCACGTCTGCAAAGCGCTGGCGGGAGAATCGTGGTTTTCAGTTAAACAACATCGGCAGGGGCAGTTCTACAACGGGGTTGACGGCGTTGAGGCGCGCTAGGCTCCGTGAACGACGGTCTCGGAATAACCCAGGGCAAGTCCCCGGTTCCCGATTATACCCGCATGCTGGGTTCGGGTGAACTGACGGAAACTACTGGTGACCGAGTGGGCGGCTACATTACGACCGAAAATTTCGGAGGAGAACTACACCTGCAGCCAAGAATTTACGGGGGTTGCGACATCGACATTTACAGAGTTTTACGGAAGAAATTACCGATTTACGGCGGGAAGTGCCGACATTTTCGTGGGATTTCTTGGCGTTTGGTTAAAGCGGCGGTATACATTTGGCAGGGCCTGTGCCAAAAGTTTATAAAAGGTACTTGGTGGTGACCGAGTTACAAGCCCACTCAACTTGTCACGAGCGACGGTTCCCAAGTGTTCCCAACTCCCCTCACAAGCCGAGGCCACTCAATTGTCGAAAGTTTATACATGCCAAAAGTATACTGAAGGAGTTGCCTCCTCGCACTAGCCCCAAGCATTCTCGCCGTGAACAATTATGAAAACTAGCTACCGGGGGCAATGTTTGCCATTACGATCAAGCTTGATCTTACGCTTAGGTCATACGTCGTCCATACCATGGCTTAGGTTTTGCATCGCCTCGTAAGACTTCGCGTCGTAAACTCGCCTCAACGCCCGTCGCGGCGTCACCTCTCGGCAAATCCGCTCCCGGCGTCGCCTTGCCGCAAATACGCACGCAACGTCGCCTCGCCGCTAATACGCACGCGGCGTCGCCTCGCCTCAAATACGCACGCGGCGTCGCCTCGCCGCAAATACGCACGCGGCGTCGCCTCGCCACAAATACGCACGCGGCGTCCCCTCGCCGCAAATACGCAGCGGCGTCGCCTCGTCGCAAATCCGCTCACAGCGTTGACTCGTCGCAACACGATGCCTCCTCACGCCACCGCGATCACGCTGGCCGCGCCACACGCTGCGGCCCTCGTGCTCCTCCCAATAAACCCTTTTTGCTGCCCCCCTTTACCGCCTCCCGATCTCCCTTTACCGCCTCCCGATCTCCCTTCCCGTCGCCCCATTTCCGTTCTCGCCGCCCGATTCCCCTTTCCGCCGCCCCTTTGACCTTCCCGCCGCCGAATTCCCCTTCCCACCGCCCAATTCCCCTTTTTCTCCGCCCAAAGAACCCATTCATGCCGCCCATTCTCCCCTTCCCGCCTCTCATTCAACTCCTCCCGCCTCCCTTTCCCCCATTCCCGCATCCCGTTCCCCCCTTCCCGCCTCCCATTCTCCCCTTCTTGCCTCCCATTCTCCCCTTCTTGCCTCCCATTCTCCCCTTCCTGCCTCCCTTCTTTCCCTTATCTCCCATCCCTCCCTTCCCTCCCTTCCCGCCCTTCTCTCCCTTCCCTCCCTTCTCCCCCGTCCCTCCCTTCTCCCCCGTCCCTCCCTTCTCTCCCTTCCCTCCCTTCTCTCCCTTCCCTCCCTTCTCTCCCTTCCCTCCCTTCTCTCCCTTCCCTCCCTTCTCTCCCTTCCCTCCCTTCTCTCCCTTCCCTCCCTTCTCCCCCGTCCCTCCCTTCTCCCCCGTCCCTCCCTTCTCTCCCTTCCCTCCCTTCTCTCCCTTCCCTCCCTTCTCTCCCTTCCCTCCCTTCTCTCCCTTCCCTCCCTTCTCTCCCTTCCCTCCCTTCTCTCCCTTCCCTCCCTTCTCCCCCGTCCCTCCCTTCTACCCCGTCCCTCCCTTCTCTCCCTTCCCTCCCTTTTCTCCTTTCCCTCCTTTCTCTCCCTTCCCTCCCTTCTCTCCCTTCCCTCCCTTTTCTCCCTTTCCTCCCTTCTCTCCCTTCACTCACTTCTCTCCCTTCACTCACTTCTCTCCCTTCCCTCACTTCTCTCCCTTCCCTCCCTTCTCTCCCTTCCCTCCCTTTTCTCCCTCCTTTCTTCTCTTCCGCGCCATGCATTCCCATTGTCCCCTGCCTGCCTCACAATCTATGCTTCCAGCCTCGCCCTTGTCGTCCTGCCTGTCATTCCATCTCCCCTCCCTGCATACCCCTCTCTTCCTGTCCTCCCTTCTCTGCGCCTCTCCCCCTCACTGTGCCCCCTGCTATACTATTCCCTCTTGTTACCTTTCCTGCCACCCCTCCGAAGCTGAAAGCGATCTCAAAGTGCTTTTCCTCACATGCCTTCCAAAGCCGCCTCCTCCCCCTGAGTCCCCTCCTCCCCCTCGACCTGATTCCTCTCGACTTCTTCCTGATTCCCCTCATTTTCTTCCTGATTCCCCTCATTTTCGTCCTGATTCTCCTCATTTTCTTCCTGATTCCCCTCATTTTCGTTCTGATTCCCCTCATTTTCGTCCTAATTCTCCTCATTTTCTTCCTGATTCCCCTCATTTTCTTTCCTGATTCCCCTCATTTTCTTCCTGATTCCCCTCATTTTCTTCCTGATTCCCCTCATTTTCTTCCTGATTCCCCTCATTTTCTTCCTGATTCCCCTCATTTTCTTCCTGATTCCCCTCATTTTCTTCCTGATTCCCCTCATTTTCTCCCTGGTTCCCCTCATTTTCACCCTGACTCCCCTCTTCTTCATCCTAATTCCCATCATTTTCTCCATGATTCCTCTCATCACAGCTTGTGGTTGAACCATTACCCTTATTTCCTGCCCTCGGATTCTTTCCCTTTCCCTGACTATTTCAGTGACTGACTGCTCTGAAGATTTCAAGCTTCAACATGCCTCACCCAATCATCTCATGTCTACCGCAGCTAATATTTGTTGCCAAAGGCATAGAGAAAGGGTCAATAGTACGGTACCTTGCTTGCTCCTCTTGGCCTTTGCCTATAGTCTAAAGTTATGTGAGAACATGTTTCTTTCTACCTGTAAGGGATGTGACACCTGTCCATGCATTGCACTGCTGAATCATGGTAGTACATAGTAAGCTTCATGACACATCTTTCTAGGAATAACTCACTACCATACTTGCATCACAATGCACACGAGACAGAACATAAGTGGTGACAAACCATCCACTAGCTACGCCTCTGCTTGTAATTGCTGCCCTCTGTATCAACACAGCCAATTAGCAGAGTAGGCAAAAACGAACCAGTAATGCTCCAGGGAAGGTGCTGTGAGGCAGAAGAGAAGCAACAAAGGAATTCAAGCACGTGATGGCACTACATGCACAGGAACTAGATTGTAGACAGTGACGAGTAAGTGAGGGGGGTGGGGAGGGCATGCAAGGGAAGGGAAGGGAGAAGGGATGGGAAAGGGAAGGGAACCCCAACCGGACCACGAACTCGTCGCGGTGTAACGCACTGCTTCACACGCACTCGCAACAGCGCAGTAGTGCTGGCCACCAGGCCACGACACGGGAGGGAAGATGCGAAGGCAGGGAGAGCGGTGATGGGAAGGGAGGGATGGGAGATTGGAAGGCAGGGTTGCGTGTGAAAAGATGAGAGCAAGTGGGAGGAGCAGAAAGACAGGTAAGTTGTGGGGCAATGGTGGGAGAGGAGGGTTGACGGTTGAAACTCGGCTCTGTCTGCGAGCAAGGGAGTGTGGGTGCACGGCAGCAGTTTGTGTGTGCATAGGTGTGCACAGCAGCACAGTAGCGCCATAACACCCACCTGAACAATCAGGTCTCGAGTGGGCAACACAACGACCGCTCTGACTTGTCGCACCACGTGCCGCACCAGGGCCTGCATCACTGGCTGCACATACGCCAGCGTCTACTGGGAAGGGGGAAATGACCGTATTACCCACCTAGGCATCCAGGTCTCTGGCGGGCAGCACTATCACCGCCCGCACCACACGCCCTGCTAGTGACTGCACCAATGGCAGTGCATACGATAGGGTAGCAGGGGGAAAACAAACCAGAAAGGAGGGGAGAAACAGAGTATAAGCTGGAGGGGAAGGAACATGGGGGAGGAGGGCTAGCACGGGTGAAAGGAAATGGTAAGCAAAGGTGGACTCTAATGAAGAGCAGGGGGGGAATTAGGAAAAGGAGGGTGGAAAAATAGGGGAAGCAAGGGAGGAGATTGGTCGAGGTAGGGAACAGGGGGCTAGAAGAAGATTGGATGAGAGAGGAGATGGAAGGGAGGAGAAATGACGAGGAGGAGAGAAAAGGGAGGAGGTTGGACGGGGGAGGAGAGGGAAGGGAGGAAAATGGACGAGTGAGGGAAGAAAATGGATACGGAAGGAGAGTGAAGGTAGGAGAGGGGATGGAGAGGAAAAGGGGCAAGCAGAGGGGGGAAGTGAGGGAGGGAAAGGAGGGGATGCTGTGGGGGGGAGGACAGGAGGGGATGCAGGGAGGGGAAGGAGGGGATGCAGGGGGGGAAATGAGGGGATGCTGTGGGGGGGGGGGACAGGAGGGGATGCCGGGAGGGAAAGGAGGGGAAGCAGGGAGGGAAATGAGGGGATGCGTGGGGGGAAAGGAGGGGAAGCAGGGGCGGAAATGAGGGGATGCGTGGGGGGAAAGGAGGGGAAGCAGGGGCGGAAATGAGGGGATGCGTGGGGGGAAAGGAGGGGAAGCAGGGGCGGAAATGAGGGGATGCGTGGGGGGAAAGGAGGGGAAGCAGGGGCGGAAATGAGGGGATGCGTGGGGGGAAAGGAGGGGAAGCAGGGGCGGAAATGAGGGGATGCGTGGGGGGAAAGGAGGGGAAGCAGGGGCGGAAATGAGGGGATGCGTGGGGGGAAAGGTGGAGAAGCAGGGGCGGAAATGAGGGGATGCGTGGGGGGAAAGGAGGGGAAGCAGGGGCGGAAATGAGGGGATGCGTGGGGGGAAAGGAGGGGAAGCAGGGGCGGAAATGAGGGGATGAGTGGTGGGAAAGGAGGGGAAGCAGGGGCGGAAATGAGGGGATGCGTGGGGGGAAAGGAGGGGAAGCAGGGGCGGAAATGAGGGGATGCGTGGGGGGAAAGGAGGGGAAGCAGGGGCGGAAATGAGGGGATGCGTGGGGGGAAAGGAGGGGAAGCAGGGGCGGAAATGAGGGGATGCGTGGGGGGAAAGGAGGGGAAGCAGGGGCGGAAATGAGGGGATGCGTGGGGGGAAAGGAGGGGAAGCAGGGGCGGAAATGAGGGGATGCGTGGGGGGAAAGGAGGGGAAGCAGGGGCGGAAATGAGGGGATGCGTGGGGGGAAAGGAGGGGAAGCAGGGGCGGAAATGAGGGGATGCGTGGGGGGAAAGGAGGGGAAGCAGGGGCGGAAATGAGGGGATGCGTGGGGGGAAAGGAGGGGAAGCAGGGGCGGAAATGAGGGGATGCGTGGGGGGAAAGGAGGGGAAGCAGGGGCGGAAATGAGGGGATGCGTGGGGGGAAAGGAGGGGAAGCAGGGGCGGAAATGAGGGGATGCGTGGGGGGAAAGGAGGGGAAGCAGGGGCGGAAATGAGGGGATGCGTGGGGGGAAAGGAGGGGAAGCAGGGGCGGAAATGAGGGGATTCCTGGGGGTAAATCCGTGAGGCGAGCAGCGCGTTACTGGTGGCTGCAGTAGGATGGCTGGCTCGCGCGCGCTTCTGGACTGAATTTCGATGGAGCGCGCGTGCTTGCAACCGCGTGCTGTTTGCTGGGCATCTAAGCGTCACATGCGCTCGCTGTGCTGGCGCGCCGCGCGGTATGCAGGCCTAAACCGTATTTTTTTGCGGCGCGCGTCTTGCTGGCAAGCTTCGCTCTGCTGAGCGCGCTATGCTAGCGCGCGGACGGAATGCCAGCATAGCGCGCGCAAGTGCCGCGCGCGGATGCCAACACAGCGCGCGAAAGTGTTGCGCGCGGAATGATAGCGTAACTGGCGCAAGTCCCGCTCACGGAATGCCATCATAGCTGGCGCCAGTGACGCGCGCGGAATGACACGACGCACACGGAGTGCCACCATCGCTGGCGCTAGTGACGCTCGCAGGCGTCGCCTGTTCTGCAAATGGCTAAATACTCACCCGCGTCTATGTATGTGGTCGCGCTGCTGGCCTAGCACCCTCCGGCCTGCTGTACCTAAACTAGTAGCTACTAGATGCGTATTCTCCGTAGTGTGATGTAGAAGGCAAGTTCGGTGACGGGAGTTTTTTCCCATTTTGTGACCCACAACCTACCCAACCATGTTCCCCTTACAACTGAAGCGCTCCAGTTTTTCGCCAACACTCTCGCTATTCTGTTTACATTTTCGTTGAGGCGAAATCGCCTGGCACACTGTGCAGAAACAACAGTGCTGCCAAATGTATACTCCTGCTTTAAACGCGCGCGACAAGGACGTGAGACAACATCGCGGGAACTACACAGAGTTTTTCAGGGGTACGAACGACATTCGACGAACTGGAGGTGGCAGCAGCAACACTGGAGGGGGTGGAGAGACAGCTGTAATTTTTTCATCTCTGCCCAGGAGTCATCGGCGGATTACGACAAATGGCTCGGCGAGTCTGGACAAAACCGCCGGAGGTGCTGACATCATCTGACACCGGATCGCCGTTCGACAACATTTTGGAGTGACATTTGATTTTGGTTACAGCTGCGACGACCATCGCCGACTCTCGCTTATCAGCTTCGCTGCCAATCGCCTCCGATCGCCAATTTGAACGACACACATAACACTCCTGATTTCACGGCCAGAGGTTTTCAGGACGAGACCGCTCCAACTCTACAAGCGACAACATCGCCACTTGCCTCCGCCCACGACAAACGATCTGATATTACCACGTCAGATGTTGCCAACTCCAACTGCTGAAGATATTGCAGGATTCTGGCGAAATGAAGACAAAAGTGTTCACTTCGAGTAACTTGGATTTTTGACCGCGTTTTTCGGACTACAACGACGGGTTCGCCCTCGAGGAATTTTGGGGCACTTAACACCTGGTTTCGTCACCGTTTTCCAACACGAACGCCCTTTCGCCTCGGCATCCGTGCTTTTACGTGCGACTTGACGACTGGTTTTGTTTGTTTTCTCACCTCGGCGCAGCTGTGAAGTTTTTGTGACAGTTTTCTTGAGAGGGGGGAGAAAGTGCGCTGCACTGTTTTCCTTCGGCGTTTTCTTCGGCACGATTTCTGACCTTGTCAGAATGCGTCAGCACGACGTACGACTGCGATTGCCTTCAGCGAAATCGATGGTCCCTGTACATCGTGACTGATCACCGCGTCAGCAGGTTCCCCCCAAGTTCGCGTCATCGGCGACCGTCCGATTGATTTCAAACTGCATTAACGGCTTCAATTCCAATTTTCAATTCGAATTGGTCAAGACAATCCGCAGCCGTCAGATCTACATCTACTCAATCTACGGCCCACATTCCAACTTCCACTTCATTTTGGGCCAGCTCATCCTCGACCGTCAGATCGAAATCTGACAGCATCAACGGCCTACATTCCAACTTTTTCAAAAATACTGCCTGGGGCATTTCACCCGTCGGATTCAGCTGAAGAGAAGATCAACGGCATCCTCGCTACCGTGGGACCCATTTTAGTACATGATTGCCTGATTTAGGAGGTGGGAGAGTGTAAGGATTTACAAATCCTTACTGAGGCGCTCGATAGCGAGGGCATCTCGAGGGCCACGCTAACCCCTGGTTCGGCCTATATTTTCGCATCCGAACCTCACCGAGCCGCCTCCGCACCAATCGCGACACTTCGCGAGCCAACCCTACCACACCATCCCCGCCTAGCTAGGTTTTCCCCTATTTAGGCCTCGCTACTTCATTGTTCAATCATTCAGTAGTCAATCATTCTCGTTATTCGTTTTACTGCGCACTCTGCAAGTTCATTCATAACAGAGGTCATGTGTTTCTGCTTTTCTGTTTACGCTCGCGAAATCCAAACTCCCGTTTTCAACCGTTTTCCTAATGACCAATGATCTTCCACAAAAAGGTCGAGCCTCTTGACCGATCTCACCAGTTCTGCGCGACGCGTGTCTGACTAGTTTGTCTTCCTTGCAGGGTTGTCAGATTACTGTCGCCAAATGAAGTTTGGGGGTTGCCCGTGCCGAGTCAGGGGTGCGTTAGAGCCTTTCAGGGCACTTCTCAACCCTTTCCCTGAATTTACGTCTTTCTGGTTGGCCAGGAATCCCTGCTTCTTGGCCCCCCTTCCCCCCCAACTCCAAATTCACTTCAATCTCATTTGTTCCCCACCCCCGTTCCAACTCCACCTCCTTCCATTCTCAGCAACTGGGAGTGTGGAGTTGTTTCCACGGAGGATATGAAGAGTTTCTGTTCGAAATCCATTCACTCAAAGTGATGTCACCCCCTTGCTCGCTCAGGGCTCGTTTTTTCCTCTGCCCGTAAAAAGCAGGGCAACTTCTCGTTTGGGTCCCAGACCAATCGACAGCCTTGCTCGCTTGGCGCTGTCTTCAACCTGTTGTTGACCTTCGTCCTTCATTGTTGTTTTGTGCACCTGTGGGTCGGCAGCTTTTCATGCCCGCCGTTTTCTGTTCAGCAGGAGGTTGTGCAGTCGTGGGGTCGAGGTAACACAAGTTCTCGCATGACTTTGTCCCCAAGTGTCCATGAGAAGCACGGCTTTTCGAGAGCTGACTTTTAGGCGACCGCATGCTTGACATATGCTCTAAAGCCTTCAGAGCTAATTAAGCAGATGTCCATTCTCATCACGGAGTTTTGTGAAATTTAGGTTCTGATTGCGTCTGCTCCCTCGACTATTCGATTTCGACGTTCACTTCAAACACCTTCAAAAAGTAGGAGAAGTAGCCCCGAATATACAAGATTCCTGCTGGGCCAAATCCTGCCTCCGAAACTACTTTTGTCTCATGTGACGGTTGGTTACGACGCACAATGCTTTGCTTCACACCTCTGCTCCAGTCGTGATGTCGTTACTCACAGCTAGGTGAGGGAGTGTCGAAGTAGCGAAGCTTGTTTGTAAAACTTGTTTCTTGTGCCCATGCGAAAAAAAAATAATGGCGTACCCTACAAAACGGAGCTTGTGATGGGGTCAGTTTGGTTGGGGTTGCATAATTGAAAGTGCACCTCACTCAACCGCTTTATAAACTATAGGAAGCTCAACCGGAGCCACTGTAAAACCCCCATCGTACCCTGATCACGCCAGTTTGGCTAATCTTTACATATTTGTTTCTTCTTTGTATACCTTCAGATCCAACCCCACAGTTGGAAACCGCGTTTCTTCGACCCGACGAGAACTTGACGTGCATTGGGCTTCCCGCAAGTAGGCAACATTCCCACAAACTCCTTCGCCGACGGACGGCCTGGGTGCGGGGAGAAACAAGAGCACGAAGACACGCGGCATTCGTTTCTGTGGTGACTTGGCTGCAGTTGTCGTTCAAGGTCATGCGAAGCGATGCGAGCTTCCCTTCATCCTCCTTTCCATCTGGCTGGCTACGCGCTTTTTATGAGCTCTGCCTTGTTGGTTCGTGATTGAAAGTCGTGTTGAAATCTCCCACTTCACGGAGTCCTTACTAATTATTGACAATATCCAACGTACCTTGCCACTTTCTCTGATTTGTTCCACGCAAACATGACGACTGATTGCATACTTCGAGGAGATAGCAGTTATCCGCCATACCTCTCACAGTTCCAGCAACAGGACCTCCCAGCATCTGGAGCGACCGTGCTGTGTTCAAACAACGGTTCCTGGATGCCATCTGTCATCGCATCGCTAGCAACTCAGCGTCAGCTTTCGTTGAATCGCGATTCCGTCGTTCGTCCCGCCGAGATGCATCGTCAACAACGGATGCATCGTCGTTCGCCGTCCATGTCCGTCGTCGAATCGTCGCAGAAGGTCACTTACGATTCCAGCGACTTTCGAGCGCCGCCCACTGCCAGCGTCGCAGGTACTACACCCAGCGGCGCAAATCGCCGCGTGGTAATTTCTTCCCCTGATGTCCCCGCAGCCGCTCAACCATCACACGTGGCAAGCGCAGCGCCCGCCACGTGGAAAAAACCAGGAATGACGCTTCCTCCTCTCGTCCGTCGATGCACAGTTGGATCCGACGGCGATTATTTAAACTACAAGGACCATACGGAGGATTCTTGGTGCCCTAGTCCAAGCCCAAGCCCCCGCGATATACGCTTCGATTTTTCCGGGGAAAGGTGGGCGGAAGTTCCGACGTCACCGCTTCCACCCAGGTCGCCCATTCGCAAAGGCTTTCCGCCTCGTGCAACGTCGACTTCCTCCAGAATGGGGCGATCTGGCTCGGTTGGGAGCGTCGTTAGCGTCGTTAGTAGCGCCGCAGACGACGACGAGGATTCCGACGACGACGAGGCGTTTATTCAGCAATACATTGCGAAGATAATCAACCCTGCCGCAGCAGCCGCAGCCGCCGCCGCAGCAGCCGCCTCCGCCGCCGCCGCGGCAGCGGGTTCACCCGCGCCTACTTCAGCAACTTCTGCGCGAAACGGTGGAGCTGCAGCGAAAGAGCAAGGGTTTTACCCGCCAAATCGAGTGTCGCGGGGCGCGCGGACTCACCGGCGCTGGCAGAGCTTCTCCGATTGTTCCGTCCCCGCGGGGAAATATTCCCCAGTGGAACGTTCCCCGCAGTACACCTTCGCAAGTGCTTCGCGAAGGGCTAATGCGGATGCTGCGAGTTATATCGACGATTTTGTTCCGCTTCGCGATACTTCAACCCAAACGAAGTACACGAGATCGCCAGAGTTGGGTTACCGGGTTCCTGCCGCTGCGTCTTTGCCCCCGCAGCATCGTCGTCGGAACAGTGTCGTTTCGAGCTCTGCCATTCCCCGACGTCGCTCAGGCGAGGAAGATTGGGCGATGCTTTCGCCAGGCGAACATCAGAAGCTCCACGTTTCTAGCCCCAGGATGACGAATCGTTCAATCGCGGGTTCGAATCCCGCAGGGCTCGAACCTGCCTGGTCCCCTCATTATAACATCAGGCACCAACAACCAGCCAACCAAGTGGGTTATTCTGACACACCTCCAGTTCCCTCTAGGGCTCCACGTCAGCAGCAGAAGCCTAGGTCATTGGTTCACCAGAGATCCAAGAGCCAAGGTGCTAAGGAGCTCTCTTTTTCCATGGGATCCCATGGCAACTGTCCTGTAAGCATGGTGACAGTTCAGATGGGACTGAACAGAACATGGCATTCTCCTGAGCCTCAAAATTCCATTGGCTGGGAGGTTTTTGCATATGATAGAAGGTAGGGGGGCATATGAACTCAGCTAGAGCCTAGTATTTACCCGTATCGTCATATAGGTACCATGCTAATTCTTATTTCTATTCATCTGTTATTGATGCTCAAGTGTATGGCTGTAATACAGCATGACTACTGATCCTAATAATTTATGTCTTCCATTGTGTACACCTTGACTTCTGATCATCAATCAAGGCCCAGCATCCCACTCACCATCAATGTCTGATACCGAGTATTCAGGTCATCCTCCCTCGCTCTATCCCGCAAATCATCCTTCACCGTTTTCATTGCTAAACGAAAAGCTCTTGAACGCACAGCACCGATCAAAACAGCAGCACTCTCAGATGTTATTTTCCATACTTGGAATCACCTAGGCCTCCTTGGAATCGCAGCGTTGACGCAAGTCCCGTGACGCAGATTTCGGCGCTGTACCCGTTATAGCCTGCTCAAAGCTCATGCTCTGTGCCTAAGCCAGGATACCATGTTTACGACGAATGCTCTATCTGTCAGTTGATCCTTGCTCAGAAACTAGTTGATCCGTGCTCAGAAACTAGTTGATCCGTGCTCAGAAACTAGTTGATCCGTGCTCAGAAACTAGTTGATCCGTGCTCAGAAACTAGTTGATCCGTGCTGAGGAACTAGTTGATCCGTCCTTAGGGACTAGTTGATTCAGCTGTTTTCCCAACCAGTCGACCCTTTTCCTAGCGCAAACAGAGGGTTATCGCACCTCACTCCCTCGCGTTTGTAGACGCCGTTATTTGCGGTCCTTTGTGGAATTTGCGATGTCGCAAAGTAGGAAGTGAGACTCAGTATGCTGGCACAATTCCGTTATAAGTACAGTTGACTATCATTCAGCATTCCTCGTGACTAATTCGAGCGGCGGAGTCTGGTCTGTCGTGCGGAGTGGAGTCAACTAGGAAGGTGACTGTATCGGTTCCGGCAGTAACGGAGAGGTGGCAAGATGATGCGAACAGGGAGAGACAGTGAAGTGCGGACCCAGAAGAAGGTCGAGGAAGGTACGAGATCGAGGATTGCGGATGTGTGGTACGGGTGTGTTTTGAGTCGATTAAAGCACACCATGTTGCGAACGGGGAGGGATAGTGAAGTGCGGACCCAGAAGAAGGTCGAGGAAGGTAAGCAGTTGGGAATCTCGAATTTGTGATAAGGCGTAGGTCGTACGGAATCTGAAGAAAGTAAGCTGGATTGGATTTAGGGCGTGGAAGCAGTTTTGGATGGTTAGAGGGTTCGATGATGATTGGATTCTCTAACGACGGTAGGATTCAATGTAAACGCTCTTGGAATCTCTGCGGTTGTCGTCGTTCCACCCGCCTTAGTCAATCCACACTCACTCCACAGTCTCATTCCTGTTACTCCGCACTCCCACTTCGTAGCCTCACTTTACACTCACTTCACTGAAGTGTTAGGCATTACTTTTAGGAGGAGTAAATATGACCCCACTCGCTTTCGCATCATCTTCCTTGCTTCCTGCAGCCCTGCGGAGCAAGATAAAGGAGTGAGCCCTCAAGGATTGTGCGCGGGAGATTGAGGCGTTTGCTGACTGTTGAGTCAAGCCACGAGTTACTTGCACCCTTACCCCATGCCCTCTCGCGTGGCCTCGCGTCCTCTCTGCAGCTCTACGGAGCAGGATGAAGGAGCGAGCGTTGAAGGAGTGTGCGCGGGAGATTGAGGCGTATGCTGACTGTGTGCGCGGGCGTGTGTTCTCCATTGTGTGGGCGTGCCGGGCACACGCCACTGAACTGAACGAGTGCCTGCACCAATAGTAAGCAAGCTGGGGGTATGCTGACTGGGTGTGTGTAACAGGTGTGTGGAGAGGGCGTGTGTTCTCCATAGTGTGGGTGTGCCGGGCACACGCCACTGAGCTCAACCAGTGCCTGGCAGTAGTAAGTAAGAAGGGGGTCTTGTAGGGCATGCCACGGTACTCTGCCAATGCCTCCCTCCCTGCATCATTAGTAAGCAAACAAGGTGAGTGGGAGAGCGCATGTGAGAGGCCATGCAAGATCAAGCAGCAAGTGCAGCAGGAGCAACAGCTGCGTTGCAACCTACTTGTAGTTCACTGCTCTGTTCCTCTCTCCGTCTGTTTCCCACGCCGTTATCTGCAGCACAAATGATGCAGTTTTGGATCAGTCAAGGGGGACTAGATGGCGCAGCAGCAGCAACTGCAGCAGAATCCATCTTACACACAACTCTGTTTTGTTTCTCCATTTGTTTCTGTCTTTGATTCACCCTTGTTTTGCAGCACCAACGATGCAGTTTTGGATCAATACAAGCGGGATTACTGTACATGGCACAACAGCAGCAGCTGCAGCAGAATCTGCATCTTACACAACTCTGTTTTGCTTCTCCGTTTTGTTTGTCTTTGATTCACCCTTGTTTTGCAGCACCAATGATGCAGTGTTGGATCAGTACAAGCGGGACTACATGGCACAGCAGCAACAACTGCATCAGGAGCAGGAACAGGAGCAGCAGCAGCAGCTGCAGCAGCAACAACAACAATAGCAGGAATGACAGCTGCATTAGCAAGTCCCATTGTTGATATACTGCAGTTAAAACAAAATATCAGCAATGGTAGGAGGAGCAGCAGCAGCTGCTGCAGTTTACTCAACCTATGCAGCTTGATTCTTTCAGGCAGCACATCTGAACTGAACATTGGATTGCATGTGTTCCTTAGAGAATGACAATGCAATGCGTAATCTAATCGTCAGTGGAAAGTGAGCAGCCAGTCCTGTGCTTGGTAACAGTTCCAGGACTGTTGAATTTTGAAAGATTTTGCAAGTTCGCACTCAGAATTCTTGGTTGTTGTAGCCTACGTAACTAGAATCGTAACTGCAGTAGCTGAACAGAAGCATGTCCTACACATGTGATGGGAAGCATGTCCTAAACTTCGAAAAACTACACCACACACGCAAACGGTCTTTGTCGATGTCACTTGACTAGGCAGCAGCAGCACTGACAGCAACACCAATCTTTACCACTTGACTAAGCAGCGGCGCCGTCAGCAGCAGGAGCGGCCTCCCCCGAGTGCTGCCGCAGCACCATAAGCGCCTCCTCCACCTTGGCCAGGAGGGCGAGACAGCCAGGCACAGGCGACTTCCGAAAAATTCTTTCAGTGCCGCCTCTAAGCAGCAGCACCGTCAGCGGCAGGTGCAGCCTCCCCCGAGTGCTGCCGGAGCACCATGAGCGCCTCCTCCACCTTGGCCAGGAGGGCGTCTGGTGATTCCAGCAGCAGCAGCAGCTCGCTGTTGTCCATCTCGAGCAGCATGCCCGTGATCTTACCCGCCAGCTCCGGCTGATTTGATTGCAACAAGAAACAGGGGAGAAAGGAGAGAAACAGGAGTGGGGGACGGGAGAGTAGAGGGGATTGAGGGAACAAGGAGGAGAGAGATGGGGAATCAAGGAAGGTGATTCCAGCAGCAGCAGCAGCTCGCTGTTGTCCATCTCGAGCAGCATGCCCGTGATCTTACCCGCCAGCTCCGGCTGTGGAAGGGTGAAAGGGGAAGGAAGCAGGACGGGAGTAGAAGGTGAAAGAGGGGATTTAAGAAAGGTGATTCCAGCAGCAGCAGCAGCACATCGCTGTTGTCCATCTCCAGGAGCATTCCCGTGATCTTACCTGCTAGCTCCGGCTGAATGGGGCGGTGGGGACAAGAGAGTTAGAGGGTATTGAGGGAACAGGGATAGGGGAGATGAGCAATCAAGAAAGGTGATTCGAGCAGCAGCAGCAGCTCAAGGACCATGCCCATGCATCTTGCCCACTAGCTCCAACTAAGGGAGGGAGTGCGGCGGCAGAATGGGAGAAGGGGAAGTTGGCAGAAGGGGAGTAGGGGAATTCAGCAGCAGCAGCGGCAGCGGCAGCAGCAGCAGCAGTGGGAAAAGGACCTCTCCCATCTGCTCTCCCATCAGTACCCCTGAGTACCCCTTTCAACCAACCTGATGCTGCTGGATGAGTGGGAAGAGCCGCTCTCCCAGCATCTGCTTCTGCTGGGCGGGCGGAGCTGCAGCGAGGGCCGTCGGATTGAGCGGATCGGACGGCAGAGGCATGGGCGCAGCAGGAGGGACCACACCCGGTGCCATGGGGACTGGCACCACCGGCACTGGCACGGCTCCCATGGGGAGCATCTGGAGGGATACAGAGGGGTGTGGTGGGGTGGAGGAAGAGAGAGCAGGCATGAAGGGAGAGAGGCATGGACACAGCAGGGGGGACCACACCCGGTGCCATGGGGACTGGTACCACCGGCACTGGCACGGCGCCCATGGGGAGCATCTGGGGTGAGATGGGGGGGAGGGGGAGAAGGGGGGAAGGGGAAGAGGGAGAAAGGAAAAAAAGTGCCTTAAAACATACACAGTATGGGGACTGGCACCACCAGCACTGGTACAGCCCCCATGAGGAGAATCTGAAGGGATAGAGAAGGGTGTGGTGGGGTGAAGGAAGAGAGAGCAGACGTGAGGGGAGAGAGGCATGGACGCAGAAGGGGGGACACCACACCCGGTGCCATGGGGACTGGCACCACCGGCACTGGCACTGCGCCCATGGGGAGCATCTGGGGTGAGATGGGGGGGAGGGGGAGAAGGGGGGAAGGGGAAGAGGGAGAAAGGAAAAAAAGTGCCTTAAAACATACACAGTATGGGGACTGGCACCACCAGCACTGGTACAGCCCCCATGAGGAGAATCTGAAGGGATAGAGAAGGGTGTGGTGGGGTGAAGGAAGAGAGAGCAGACGTGAGGGGAGAGAGGCATGGACGCAGAAGGGGGGACACCACACCCGGTGCCATGGGGACTGGCACCACCGGCACTGGCACTGCGCCCATGGGGAGCATCTGGGGTGAGATAGGAGGGAGGGGGAGCACAGGGGAAGAGTAGGAGGAGAACAGTGTGAGACTTAAGGTGCCATGGGGACTGGCACCACCGGCACTGGCACTGCACCCATGGGAAGCATCTGGGGTGAGATAGGAGGGAGGGGGAAAAGGGGGGAAGGTGAGAGGGGAGAGGGAGAAAAGTGCCCTAATATATACACACCATGGGGACCGGCACCACTGGCACAGGCAAGGCGCCCATGGGGAGCATCTGGAGGGATAGGGTTAGGGTTTTGGGCAAAGGAAGAGGGGGCAAGCATGAGCAGGGGGAGTAGAGAGAGAGCAGACGCAGCAGAGGAAAAAGAAAGCCTACTCAGGCACCACATAATTCCCACCCGCCCTACCTGCCCCATCCCACGCCATTCCCCCCACCCGTTCCCCCTATCACCCCATATCCCCCATGCCCCCCACCCCTGCTTCCCCTCACCTGCTGCGGCTGCTGCCCCTGCTGTGGTCGCCCCCGCCCCTGGCGCTGGCGCGGACCAATGGACGCCTGGCGGATGGAGACGAGGGAGGGGGGGGGGGAGGGGGGGGGGAGGGGAGGGGAAGAGTGGGGGAAGCAGAGTAGCGCGGGAAAGCAGGGGGAAACGGGGGAAGGTGGAAATGAGGCTGCTGCCCCTGCTGTGGTCGCCCCCCTGCCTTTGGCCATGGCTCTGCCTCTGGGCCTGCCACTGCACATGCCCCGCCCCTGCCCTGCCTCTGCGCCTGTCCCTGCACCTGCCCTTGCCCTTGCCCCTGCCCTTGCCCCTGCCCCTGCCCCTGCATCTGCGCCTATCCCCGACCTTGCCCTTACCCCTGCCCCTGCCCCTGCATCTGCGCCTGTCCCTGCCCCTTCCCCTGCCCCTCCGCCTGCCACTGCCACTGCCCCTGCCCCTGCCCCTGCCCCTGCCCCTGCCCCTGCCCCTGCCCCTGCCCCTGCCCCTGCCCCTGCCCCTGCCCCTGCCCCTGCCCCTGCCCCTGCCCCTGCCCCTGCCCCTGCCCCTGCCCCTGCCCCTGCCCCTGCCCCTGCCCCTGCCCCTGCCCCTGCCCCTGTTCCGCCCCATACCCCTCCTCATGCCACAAGGCCACTCACATTGTAGTTGGGCATGGGTTGGAACCCTCCTCTCGGCATGGGCCCCCGCCACGCGCCACGCCCCATCATCTGCGGATACACCACCCCCTGCCCCTGCCTCTGCGCCTGCCCCTGCCTCTGCCCCTATCCCTTCACCTGCCCCTGGCCCTACCCCTTCACCTGCCCCTGGCCCTATCCCTTCACCTACCACCTTCATCCAGCACTCACATTGTAGTTGGGCATGGGTTGGAACCCTCCTCTCGGCATGGGCCCCCTCCACGCGCCCCGCCCCATCATCTGCGGATACACCACCCCCTGCCCCTGCCTCTGCCCCTATCCCTTCACCTGCCCCTGGCCCTATCCCTTCACCTGCCCCTGGCCCTACCCCTTCACCTGCCCCTGGCCCTATCCCTTCACCTACCACCTTCATCCAGCACTCACATTGTAGTTGGGCATGGGTTGGAACCCTCCTCTCGGCATGGGCCCCCTCCACGCGCCCCGCCCCATCATCTGCGGATACACCACCCCCTGCCCCTGCCTCTGCGCCTGCCCCTGCGCGCCCGCGCCCCCCGCCAGCACCCCTGGGGGAGGCGCAGCATAGAAGATGGGCGCACCAGGGGGGAACATGGGCGCACCAGGCGGAATCCCCCCCGGACCCCCTGCCACCCCAGGGATAGGTCCCCCGGCAGCAGCGGCGGCAGCGGCGGCGGCAGCAGCAGCAGCGGCGTTGGGGGGGAGGACGGCGCCTGGGGGGAGGGCTGCGCCTGGGGGGAGGACGCCCGGGGGGAGCGCGCCCCTGAGCGCGAACTGCTGCTGCAGCTGCGCCTGGCGCACCTCCTTGCGCTGGGCCAAGGCCACGTAGAGAGGGCGACCGTTCACCAGACGACCTGATTGGGAAAGGGAAAACGGAGGATGGGTGGATGCAAGGAGTGGGGGACAGGGAGCAGATGAGAGAGGGGGAGATGCAGTAACCACTGCTGCTGCAGCTGCGCCTGGCGCACCTCCTTGCGCTGGGCTAGCGCCACGTAGAGAGGGCGCCCGTTCACCAGACGACCTGGGGGAAAGGGGAGGGTGGGGGGGCGAGTGGGAGGGGTGGGGAAGAGGGAGCAGATGAGAGAGGGAGGGTTGTATGCAATCACTATGCTGCTACAGCTGCGCCTGGCGCACCTCCTTGCGCTGCGCTAGCGCCACGTAGAGGGGACGCCCGTTCACCAGACGACCTGAATGGGGGAGAGGGGCGGGAGGAAGGGTGGGAGAGAGGGCCAGGGTAGGGGAAGGGGAGGGGTGGGAAGGAGGGGATGGGGGAGAGGGCTGTGAGGGCTGGGCGGAGGAAGGGGAGCAAATGGGAGAGGGCGAGGCCCCAACCAGAACCCCAAACAAACTCGTACCTCAAACCCGAACCCAACCTCCTACAAACAGCCCTTACAGTCTCTCACAGTTGGCCTCCATGATGGTGTGGCTGGCCTCATCAGTGTTGGAGAAGCACACGAACCCAAACCCAGACTGATAAACCGTAACTCCAAACCCTGAACCTCTCAACTGACCCCTGACAAGCAAGTAACCCTTAACAGTACTCACCATTTGCCTCCATGATGGCACGGCTGGCCTCATCCGTGTTGGAGAAGCACACGAAGCCAAAGCCCCGGCTCGTGCCATTGTGGGTTGCCACTTACCACCCTACCACGCGCACTCACCATTTGCCTCCATGATGGCGCGGCTGGCCTCGTCCGTGTTGGAGA